AGTGGGACAGCCTTTGTCTGCTTCACCAATCCAGCCAGAGGTAGAGCTCTGTGTAAACATACAGCTGGTAACATAAACACACATTCTGAGTGCTCTCAATGTGGGTACGTAGCACACACACTGGACAAAGAGAATGCATCCTCCTCTGCTCCTCAGATGCAAAAGGAGGGAAGCAAAAGCTCAGAAACTCAAACTCCATTCAGTTATAAGATGCAGGCTTGACCTTGGGAAAATAGGCAGCATTCGGACGCAATATGACCTTATGGCCATCAGGAGAGAACTGTGCAAGAGGGATGCACTGCAATGCATGTAGGTCACCCACTTACTTTGCTGAAGCCAAAGTGAGAACTGATGCAGTCTTATATGAGAGAAATTTCATATCCACAGACTCAATGGATTCAAAAGAGGGGCTACATATGCTCCAGCACTAAAGAAAAGTCCCAAGCAGGGACACTGGACTTAAGCACAGGTCTCAGCCAACAAACCCTTTTCAGAAAAGGTATGGTGAGGGGATGTGCACCTGGTGTCACCCCGTCAAAGCCAAAATGACAAGCAGATATAGCTGCTAAATAAACCTTAATCGTTGAAAATGAAAGGACCTCATCCAGCAGCTCCTGCAGGAATTTCAAAACATTCACAAAAGAGCACTGGAATGGGACAGTGTGGCGGTCCTGGCATCATTGCTCGAAGGCTCGCCATTTCTAACAGTACAAGCCTCTAGTGGATGAGGCCGTAGTGTTCTGAATTGTCACTATCACACTAGGTAGCAGACCCTTAGCAATCAAGTTTGACCTCTCAGCAGGTAAGCATGAAGACGCCACAGATCCGGGCGCAAATGAATTATTTCTCCTCCCACCTGAGAGAAGAGGTCCCTGCGGAGGCTAAGTTGACTAAGTTGCCAAGGACTCACTGCTAGCAGGCTGATTATCTCTGAATACCAAGACCCTGTGGGCCACCAAGGGGCCACTACAATCAGTCAGAGAGACTGCCGACGCAATCTCTCTAAAATTGGAGATATCATTTCCACTGGGGGAAATGCATACAGGAGCATGACTGGCCATTGGTGCGCTAGCGCATCCATGCCCAAGGTTGCATTGTGAACGATTATTGAGAAGAACAGGGGGCAGTGAATATTTACCCTGGAGGCAAAAAAAGATCTACCTGTGCATTGCCAAACAGATCCCAAATCTGAGCCACTATCAAAGGGTGCAACCTCCATTCCTTCACCAGAGTACCCCCCTTGGGGGAAATGAACACTGCACCATAACAGCAGAGAGCGAGACAGCTTTAATAGGGGAAGGGAGGGTGTCCCTCCCTGACTGTTTATGTAAGAGACTATTGTTGAATTGTCCTTCCTGTATAAGACATGCTGGCCCTCCAGGACTGGACGGAAATGTTTGAGAGCTAAGAACACTGCTAACAGCTCTAAGTGGTTGATGTGAAGATCACGCTGGGCTGCGGTCCAGAGCCCTCTCACTCATGCGCCCTCGCATAGCACTCCCCACCCCCTTAGGGAAGCATCTGTGGACACCACCTTGCAAAACAACACCCTCCCATCTGAGAGCCCTGATGCAGTAGCCTGGGCTCCGTCCAGGGATAGAGAACTAGCATGCACGATGCGGTTACCATCAGCCTCCTCCAGAGGTGACGCGATGCACACAGGTGGTGAGAGAGAGTCCAGCATTGAAACACTCTCATCTTTACCAGTCTAAGTGGCACTACAGTGATCATAGATGCCATCGTGCCCAACAAATGTAATATCGTCTGGAAACGCAGTCTCTGTCCCAGATGAAACTGAGCGAAGCTGTAATGAAACGCAGCCACGCAGCCAGGTGCAAGCGTGTCACTGAGGCAACTGAGCAGCCAGCTGGCTGACCTGCAGCATCAATGGCGGGGCGTTGTGTGTCTGTGTCTTTAGCACTGATGCACTGATGCTCTAACATCTATGAACAATTTTAAGTGCAACATCTTCATGAGTTTTTATGTCACCCAGGAGTTTTTTTGTTTAGTGAGATGTTTTATTTGCTGTTATTTTTCATCCCTCACTTTTCCTTTCAATTCTACTCTCTTTAGTTTGCAAACCAAAAGGTTCTGTGTTGGGTTTAGGTAATTACAAGTATTTTAAGTAATTTAGAGAGAAAGACTTTGGTTTGGGTTAAAACAAACCCCCTAAAAATAGTAATCCTGCACATTTACCAGTGATGAGATGGACCTAACACAATCTCACTAATGCCATACCCCAGTGCAAATCGGAACACATCGGAAGGAAAGACTTTGCTTAAATTAGCAATGCCTGTGTGTTTGAGAAGATGGGGCTACTTAATGTCACAGAGGTGAGAATAGCCTTGAATAAACATAGGTTTTAGTGTGTGAAAATGTGGAGTGAGGGGATTGATGGAAGTTAGAGTTCACATTGTTGAAAATGATATGGAGGCCGTCTTCTGCAGAATACCTTGAAATTTTCACTTTTCTTTCAGTCCTGGGCACCAAACATTTGAGAACAGTGGTTTACAGATTATCATAGATGCTTACTAATTTTGAAACTGAACAGAAAAGAAGACGTAGGATGCTTCAAATTGTCTTGTTATGGCATCTTGCATAGATGCTTTGTCACTGAAGTCCTGTTTATTCCACTTTTAAAGGTTTTGTCCAAAGGTCTTTGCTCACTGGTTCTGAATCTATGGTTTGTTTCCTGTCCAGGCTTCCAGCTTTACAAAAGGTATTGTGGTGGCGGTTCGTCTGCAAACAGTGACACTCCGTACTTGGAAGGTCACAATCCTGATCTAGAAGAACAAAAGTACCGCCCACGGGAAAATGGTGGCTTTGAGGGCGATGAGAGCAACAACACGGATGTGAAGGATAAAAGCACTGACAAAAGCACTGCGCTGTGATGCAGCCCTGAAAACCAGAGATGTTCGGTTGTTGGTATGAGCAATAACAACTGCATCACTGAACACACCATTCAGACTCTACTGTGAAGACACACTGCACTCTGCAGGCTGTATGTGCACCACACTAAACCATTTGGAAAAGTTTTAGCTGAACAGGGTTGCACAAATTTCTTCCCCGGGACAGTCAGTATCTAACTTCAAGTGGGAACGTGGTGGGGACCAACTGCTGAATTATGTGTTATTTACTTTTATTCATATGTAAATATTTAGAACCACTTTGCCTGTACATTGTTAGTGTCTCTTAATGAGTGCTTCAGTGGTGGAAAACAGGGTGGTTTTTTGTTGTTGTTGTTTTTTGTAATGTGACAGTCATAATTTATTTGATATTACTGTTATTTCAAAAGCAACAAGAACACAGTGATGACAATAAAGAACAAAATGTGATATACTGATGTAGTTACAGCGTAAGAAAAATCTATGTGAGATCCAGTCATGTAAAAGGTGCTGTGGAGTTGTTTTTTTGTTTTTTTCAAAGTGTGTGATTGAAACGACCCTGCCTGATGAAGTGACACTGAGGTACAGTTACCACAGAAGGATAACTCAGATGTGGGTGGTGATACATACAAATAATCTGAAGAAACACCAATTTAAAAAACTGAGTGCAACTGTACTTGCTTTGGCAGAGGGGTTGGCAGTTAAATAAATGCAATGGACATGTGATTACGGCTAACCAATTGGACACAGAAGTGGTGGATAAGCAGATTAAGATGGCTGTAGTGATAGATGTAGCTATCCTAAATGACAGCAACATTAGAAAGACGGAACACAAGAAGCTGGAGAAATACCAAGAGCTGAGAAAAGAACTCAAGGAGATGTGGAGGGTGAAGGCAACATTAACCAGATTTGTAAATCCACCATATAGATAATAACCTGTAGAGGCCTAAAATGTACCTGTGTGCCAAGTTTGGTTGCTCAACTCTTGATTGTGTAGAGGGAGTTGGTGGATAAAGCAGCAAACACACAGATAGACATTTCATGTGTTAATATGAGATGCACCAGATTTAGCATGGAAATGTTTACTTCCTCAAGAATCTGTATTATGTTTATATGTAAAACATTTAATTTAGTTCACAAATGAAAGTTAAATATTGGTATCACCATTATGGACTGATATGGGCATCCAGAGAGGATAAAAAAAGGTATCACGTTGATGTGTTTTAGGTTTCTAAGCTCATGATGACTCATGTACAGTACACTACACAGCAAGTGCTTAAAATGAAAACTTTAATAAAATGAAACAACACGTGATCTGATTAATTTGAAGGAAACCCCTGTGAAGAAATCATGAATTACATAAACTAGTCTGAAAAATAAATGATAGATGATAAATGATAGGTAATGGCAAAGTTGCATAAAGGGAATTAGGAAGGAGATAAAGACTTTAATAAACTAAAACAACACAGGTTGTACTCAGTGGTTAAGAAAAGCGGTAGAAGCACTTAACAGGACAGTCAGAAAAACTCACGACCACACTGGTACTGGGAATTCCACAGTGCTTGTCCTTTAGTGCACATTCTCTACATCTACCTTACAAGGCCCGCTTATCATACATGAAGCACAACCTGTGTTCCTACAACACAGTGTTCCTACAACATTGCAAGTAGTTAAAGAGGTGAAAGACTTAAGGTCCGTCCAGTCCATACGCTCACGTGCAGGTGCATACTTATGAAGTTACTAACCCTTACCTTGCATTGTCTTAAAGAGAAACCACACCATTGTGACTGTTACAACATGTTCTCATTAATTTGAATGAAACCCCTGTGAAAGAATCATAAATTACATAAACCAGTCTGGAAAATGGCAAAGTTGCATAACGTTAGTTAGGAAGAAGATAAAATATATGAAAAATAAAGCCACTAATCAGGGAACAGCCCTGGGATCTCCTGCTGGGTTTAAACACACTCACGTGGTGGATTTGTTTATTTTTTTTTTAATTAGGGAGGCTGTTTTTATATTAACAGCATTTCAGATTAAAAATTAACTCATGTTCAAAATGGTTGATCATGCAGACTTTGGGGTGTTAATTAAAGATTATGTCACCATGAAATGACGAGCTTTTTCCTCCGTGCCTAGTCTCCTGTACAGAACAGAATGCATTCAGCTTGTCAAATTTACATACGTTTTCGATCGCTACAGTGTGACTCTGCAGTGCTGTGCTGTATGTTTGTAAGTTTTCTCCCCAACAAACACAACAATGGCTACGAAACATTTTGAACCATCAAAGGCAACTGCGGTACCACCCATAAGGCAGAGGAAGGAACCATCGCACAAAAGGTTGGACTTCCGGACATGCTAAAGGAAGGTAGAAGTTACCGTATTTTCCGGATTATAAGGCACACCGGATTATAAGGCACGTTAAGCGAAACAAAACAGATAAGTCAAACTTAACTCATTCTTCTTGCTTTCTCTACTTGATTCATTGATGTTGAATTCTCTGGCAGCCGCTCTATTCACGTTCTGCACCTGAAACAGGGTTTGATCTTTGGTTTCATTCTATAATACTGGACTTTTTTTTCTACAAAGGTTTGAACTTTGAGGGTGTTTAAACAAGAGAGAAAAGTGTGAAAATGTTCATGCCTGTCTGAGAAAAGTGTATGAAGTGTGTAGTGAGGGGTTTTTACAGCTTAAAACATCTATAATAATTTTTTTTTAAAAGCTGACTACTTTGCGGATTTGACCTATCTCAGGTTATTTTTTAGAACATAACTCCTACAATAAACGAAGGACCACTGTACACCTTTATTTTGTTTTATGGGCTCTGGGTTACTCATGTTTAAAAGAATGATTAAGAGACCAAAGACGGCCATATATAATTGTGCAAAGGACATGTATTCTGTGGCTGCTGCCTCTTTGAAACTTTTCCTGCATGATGATGCTTGATGATTGTGAGTTCATTAAAACTTTAAACCCACAAGGCTGTAAAAACTGGAGCCATGGTGTAATGGTATTTCATATTTCATTGGGATTTTCTTTTTTATATGCATGTGTTTTGAACTTGTCTCACCTCAAGGACTCTAAGAAGCCCCAAAGTGTGTGCAAGTTTTAAGGATCTGCTGATATTCTTCTTCTGCCACAACAATGTCCACGCTGAAGCCAACCACCATGCTGCCAGCTATCTGTGACAATGCTGCCACAGCCTGCTCGGGCACAGACTGCCTTGTTCCTCCCAGTAACTTCAATGCCATCCTGGGAGTAGTGATGAGCACGGTGCTCACCATCATGCTCGCAATGGTCATGTTCGCCATGGGCTGCAGAGTGGAGGCTGCAAAGCTGTGGGGCCACATTAAGAAGCCATGGGGCATTATCATTGGCTTCCTCTGCCAGTTTGGCATTATGCCTTTCACAGCTTTTGCCTTGTCACTGGCTTTTGGGGTCCAGGCTGTGCAGGCAGTGGTCATCATCATCATGGGCTGCTGTCCAGGTGGCTCAATCTCCAACATCATCTGCTACTGGTTGGAAGGAGACATGGACCTCAGGTGAGACCTTGGGCAGGTTCATTGCTATTTTTTCTTTTTCCCTTTATGTTAAAGAGCAGACTTCTCTGAGCCTTTTTCAGCTGGTGGTTTCTCCCTGTTAAAAAAGGAACCTTCTTTTTTCCCTACTATCACCAAGTGCTGCTCTTAGAGGACCACTATGTCTACTCTATGATAACTATTTGTTTCTCTTGTGTATGTAAACTAAATAGAATATTTTCATGTTTTTTGGATCCCAGAACACTCTTAAGCTATTTTAAGGAAGACTTTCTTGTTGTGTAGCTACCTGGCAGGAGAACAACAGAATTAATGTATTACAAGTTTTTATTGGTCTAGAGTTTTATTTACATTTATTCAATGTTAATGCACTATTTAAATAAAACAGATTGTGTTAGTGTGTATAAGCACAGCTAGGGACAAATGCAGGAAACTCATCAGTGTCCAAATCCTTCGCTCCTCAGTCTCAGTATGACAGCCTGCTCCTCTCTCCTGGCCTTGGGGATGATGCCTCTCTGTCTTTTAATCTACACCAGTGTATGGACATCCAGTGACACCATCAAGATCCCGTATGACAGTATCGGTAAGGAAAGCTTTCAAAGAACTGAAACACCTTAAATAATTTCAAACAAGTGCTCTCAATAATGTGTATTATCAGGATGTAACTGTGAATGCTGTTCCTGCCTCTAAGGTAACCTTTTTATAATCTACTTTTTTGCATCCTCAGGTATCACACTGGCAGCCCTAATCATCCCGATCGGTGTGGGAATGTACGTAAAGCACAGGTGGCCTGAGATGGCAAAAAAGATCCTGAAGGTAGGAATGCTCTACAGTTTATTGAATATAATTCTACAGGTTTAATGTTTTCACTTATAACATCTTGTGCCTCTGTGACATGTTTCTTTTTAGAAATAGCATTTCCATCATACATACTGGGGGGATGTGATATTTCCATTTTACAGTGCCGAACCAGTTAAATCACCTGGACTGGGTTTTAATGGAGTGTTTATGTTGTGCACAGGTTGGATCCATTGTTGGCTTGGTTCTCATTGTTATTATAGCTGTGATTGGAGGAGTCCTCTACCAGTCGTCCTGGACCATTGCTCCCTCCCTGTGGATAATTGGCACCATCTACCCCTTTATTGGATTGAGCCTTGGGTTCTTCCTGGCTCGCTTTGTGGGTCAACCCTGGTACAGGTGAGGTGACAGCAAAATGTTTCTGACACAGCTACATTCAAGTTTGACTTATTGATGAGGTTCGTCATTGTTCCTTTATTTGTTCAGATGTCGAACCATTGCACTGGAGACAGGTATCCAGAATGTCCAGTTGTGCAGCACTATCGTCCAGCTGTCCTTCAGCCCAGAGGAGCTGGAAACCATGCTTGCCTTCCCCCTCATATACAGCATCTTCCAGCTCGTGTCAGCACTCGTCTTTGTGGGATGTAAGACCTTAAAACAAACAACACATACATTGGCCATTTTCTCCTGCATCGCTTGACTTTTTTTTAGTTCTTGGTCAGTGAATGCAGCTTCCTTATTTTCCTTCTTTTCCTCCATTGTGATGTTTTTTTGCTGTGTTGAGTCAACAGATTGAGCCAGGTGCTGTGCCATATAAGGATTAAATATTTAACCCAAGTTTAACCAGTAATAGAGTTGCAGCATGCTTCATGCTTCTCTGGTGGTTTATCTGTGTCAGAGATCAAGTATCATAACACCTATGACAGCAGCGGTGATGCCCAACTAGCTGCCACACAAATATCAGCTACAGGTACCCCTTTAAAAAGGGCCAAAGGGGCTGCCATTCCCTGATGGAATGAGCTCTCACTCCCTGGGGCAAAGCAAGACCTTTGGTGCTGTACGCCAGTGAGCTCATCTTTGTGGGATGTAAGACCTTAAAACACACGACATATACATTGGCCATTTCCTCCTGCATCACTGGACTTTTTTCAATTCTTGGTCAGTGAATCCTTATTTTCCTTCTTTTCCTCCATTGTGATGTTTTTTTGCTGTGTCGAGTCAACAGTTTGAGCCAGGTGTTGTGCCATATAAGGATTAAATGTTTAACCCAAGTTTAACCAGTCACAGAATTGCAGCGTGCTTCATGTTGTTTCAGTGGTTTGCCTGTGTCAGCTATAAAGTAGAGTTGGTACGATACCACTTTTTTATGTCCGATACCGATATCATAAATTTGGATATCTGCCGATACCGATATGAATCCGATATAGTGTGTTTTTTAAACAAAAAAACTGTTTTTTAATATCGTGCTGCTTTTTGTATAAGTTCATACTCAAGTTAAAAAACAAACACTAAAGCTATTCTGTTATACCTGCATGCAAAAAATACACTGCACCCAAAACATTTCATAGTTCAGCAAAACTGATCAATCTAACAAACTTAAACCTACTCTATCCTTCCTATTCTGGTATTTTAAAGAGTAAGCAACCTAACTAATAGGGTTCTAAAACTCCCAGCAAAAAATAAATAAATAAATAAATAAAATAGGGAACCACCCACCCTCCACCTCATGATGCTTAATCGACGTAATCAACTTTAATTTGATGCAGTGTGAAAAGAAAATGAAAAATGCACAGAAATAAATTATTTTCCAAAAATAATTAAATAGATTCAACATCTTTCTTCAACAGAATTGCAGACTGCACAGATTGTACCTTCCCAAAAAAAAAAGTACTAGCTTACTGGGGTATATTAGACTTAATAGTTGCTATATATAGTAATGGACTTCTATACATTTTACATCAGATTAAAATAATTATTTATTAAAAGCTAGATATTTTAAATGAGAATAAGAAAGAAAAGTATGTCTTTGTGCCCCGTTTTCCTTGTTAATGCCCTATCGGCCCCCTGGCAAAACTTTGCTAGATCTGCCCCGGCTGCATAGAAAAAGATCCTGGTGTAGAACATAAATAAATTCCAACAACAGCTTATCAAGCTTAAACGTGCTGCTGTTGTTCAGACCCTGGTTTCCTCATTCTCATAACTTCTTGGAGATGAAATGCCGGATTGCTAGCTAGGCTACAAATACACACAGCTGCTCTATCACGTGACAAGCACTGCTGCAACGTGCTACGGTTATGAGCCGAGTTACGCCGTGTGGCAAGTTTTGTGAGGTGCTTTCGTGATATTTAATGGATCGGATTACATTTTTTAAATTTTTCTCCGATATCCGATCCAGTGATTTACGTCAGTATCGGACGGATACCGATACGTAATATCGGATCAGTCCATCTCTACTATAAAGTATCGTAATATCCATGTCAGCACATAGTTTGAATATTTTTTCCACCAGTTTCTTTCGGGAAAATTGGGAAAATGGATGACTTTACCTCACAGTCTTATTACTATTTCTTTGACCATTGAATTGTCTAACTGTGAAAGCAAATTACATAAAGGGGGATGCTGCTTAGAATTCAAGGGCACCAGTCAAGGTTAATTCAAGTGTTTCCCAAGAGGTGTCCAGGTGTGCCAGGGACTTTGTGTAAACCAAGCATCATTTTGTAACAGAAAAAAAAGTAATGTAAGAAATTGAATTTGACTATATTATTGACTGACGCATTTAAAGCTGTGATTGAGGAGAGCATTGGAGAATGGCGGAGAAGATGAAGAAAAGCACCCCCAAAATCACCTACAAAAGCTAGCTGTCTTTAGAAACTTCCTCGCATGAAGTAATTAGCAGCAGCTTTACAACCTGAGACTCCTGAATGGCAATGACTTTTCACAACTTCCTGCAACAGTGTGTAAAATAACAGCTCAAATAGACGTTGAGAGGATTAAGTGACATGAGAGGACGATATATATGTTATAGGTTTACCTAGGCAACTGATATCTGAAATATCCAGTAGCAATTAACATCAGAGATGTTAATGGTCATTAGCCCAACTGTGGCATTTGTTGGCAGGAATTAACTAAACATTCTCCTGAGAGAAATACTGGCTTTTGTAAAACAGTGCTGGACTTGAACCAGAAGAAGCAGGAACAATGCACTCTCAATAAGAGGTATTGTTCAACACCGCTTTCTCGGGTCTGCTTACTGTGTCTCGCCATGCATGCAGACATCTTTAGCATTACTTTTTTTTTTTTTTGCCTGTCCCATTTGGTTCTTTAGCCATCAGAATTGTTGTATGAAGACCAACGAGGATACCCAATGGATGCATCTTTAGCATTACTGCACTGAAGCTCTAACACCTATGAAAAACTTTAAGAAGTGCAACATCTTCATGAGTTTTTATGTCACCTAGGAGATCTTTTGTTTTGTGGTATTTTTTGCTTGCTGGTTTTTTTTTTTCATCCCTAACTTATTCCTTTCACTTCAGGTTAAAACAAACCTCCTGCACATTTACCAGTGACGAAATGGACCTTCCACAGTCCCACTTATGCCATACCCCAGTGCATCTCGGAACACATTCAAAGGACAGAATTTGCTTAAATTAGCAATTCCTGTGTGTTTGAGAAGATGGTGCTACTTAATGTCACAGACGTGAGAATAGGCTTGCATTAAAATAGGTTTTCGTGTGAAAATGTGCAGTGAGGGAATGAATGAAAGTTATAGTTCACATTGTCTAAAATGACATACAGGGCATCTTCTGCAGAATACCTTGAAATTTTGAATTCTGTCTGTCCTGTGCACCAAACATTTGAGAACCACTGGTTTACAGTGTATGGAAGATGCTCACTTATACTTGAAACTGAACAGAAAAGAAAACATGGGAGGCTTCAAATTTTCTTGTTATGGCATCTTGCATAGAAGTCCTGTTTATTCCACTTTTAAAGGTTTTGTCCAAAGGTCTTTGCTCACTGGTTCTGAATCAATGGTTTGTTTCCTGTCCAGGCTTCCAGCTTTATAAAAGATTTTGTGGCGGCTCGTCTACAAACAGTGACGCTACATACTTGGAAGGTCAGAACGCTGATGTAGAAGAGCAAAAGCACTGCCCACAGGAAAATGGTGGCTTTGAGGGCGATGAGAGCAACAACACGGATGTGAAGGATAAAAGCACTGACAAAAGCACTGCGCTGTGATATTGCAGCTCTGAAAACCAGAGACTTTGGATTGTTGGTATGAGCAATAACAACTGCATCAGTGATCACAGCATTTGGACTCTACTGTGAAGACACACTGCACTCTGCAGGCTGTATGTGCACCACACTAAACCATTTGGAAAAGTTTTAGCTGAACAGGGTTGCACAAATTTCTTCCCCGGGACAGTCAGTATCTAACTTCAAGTGGGAACGTGGTGGGGACCAACTGCTGAATTATGTGTTATTTACTTTTATTCATATCTAAATATTTAGAACCACTTTGCCTGTACATTGTTAGACATGTGTCTTAATCAGTGCTTCAGTGATTGTAAACAGGGTGTTTGGGGTTTTTTGTAAGGTGACAGCCATAATTTATTTCATATTAATGTTATTTCAATAGCAACAAGAACACAGTGATGACAACAAAGAACAAAATGTGATATAATGATGTAGTTACAGCTTAAGAGAAATCTATGTGAGATCCAGTCATGTCAATGTAAAGCTGTTAGCATGAATTAACTGTGTAACAGCTCCATAAAAGTAGCAGTAGTAGTTAAACAGATTTTTATTATTACTATTTTGGTTATTTATTGTTAATTATTATTTTATTATTAAAATTGGTCAGTAAATCCTGTGGTTAGTTGTTGAGTGAGGAAGTAGCTAAAAGCCAAGTGTGAATGATTGAAATAATAATTTAATAGTCATACATAAATGGTTAATAAGAATGTAATCAGTCTTTGAAAGTCTGGGGTTTCAGTGATCAGTTTTTCTGTCCATACTCAAGCATCAGACTTTGAAATCAACATATTCACACTTTAATGTATGAGTCTGCTGTACTGCAAAGGGACTTTGTTTAATGAAGCAATTACAGTTTAATTTCATTTACTTGGACATTTTTTTTAAATGATGAACACAAACAGTTTTTAATGAATACATTTCTGTTCTCAGTTGTGTAGTTATAAATAAAGATTATTTGCATGTTATTGTTTTTGTGCAGTTGTTCCAATGTCCTTTGTCTTATTTAAAAAAAAAAAAAAAGACTAAAGCTTGTCTTTGACCGTAGTGTGGTAAAATGTGAACAGCTGCACGTAGTCTTGGTTCAAGGTCACAATCATAATGTTATGTAAATAAATAGTCACCAAGTAGTCATGCTAAATGACGGTGGATACTAAGAAGACTGTTGAACAACAAATGCAACCCATGGAAAACAATAAAGGACAAGATAATTATGGCTGGAGTTATTGGATTATGTCAAGTTTCATTCATAACAGTGGCACTGTGTCACCCCTGCCATCTAACACCTCAGTTGCTTCAAGCATAGGCTTAGCATCTACAAATTCAATTTTTCAATTCAATTTTATTTATATAGCGCCAAATCACAACAAAAGTCGCCTCAAGGCGCTTCATAGATACAGAGAAAAACCCAAAAATCATATGACCCCTATGAGCAAGCACTTGGCGACAGTGGGAAGGAAAAACTCTCTTTTAACAGGAAGAAACCTCCAGCAGACCAGGCTCAGGGAGGGGCGGGGCCATCTGGTGCGACCGGTTGGGGTGAGAGAAGGAAGACAGGATAAAAGACATGCTGTGGAAGAGAGGCAGAGGTTAATAACAGATATGATTCAATGCAGAGAGGTCTATTAACACATAGTGAGTGAGAAAGGTGACTGGAAAGGAAAAACTCAATGCATCATGGGAATCCCCCGGCAGCCTACGTCTATTGCAACAATAACTAAGGGAGGATTCAGGGTCACCTGGTCCAGCCCTAACTATATGCTTTAGCAAAAAGGAAAGTTTTAAGCCTAATCTTAAAAGTAGAGATAGTGTCTGTCTCCCGAATCCAAACTGGAAGCTGGTTCCACAGAAGAGGGGCCTGAAAACTGAAGGCTCTCCCTCCGTTTCTACTTTTAAATACTCTAGGAACAACAAGTAGGCCTGCAGTGCAGGAGCGAAGTGCTCTAATAGAGTGATATGGTACTACAAGGTCATTAAGATAAAATGGGGCCTGATTATTTAAGACCTTGTACTCTACCACAGAGCGAGCAAACACCAAGTGACAGCGCCGACTACTTTGCGGATTTGACCTATCTCAGGTTATTTTTTAGAACATAACTCCTACAATAAACGAAGGACCACTGTACACCTTTATTTTGTTTTATGGGCTCTGGGTTACTCATGTTTAAAAGAATGATTAAGAGACCAAAGACGGCCATATATAATTGTGCAAAGGACATGTATTCTGTGGCTGCTGCCTCTTTGAAACTTTTCCTGCATGATGATGCTTGATGATTGTGAGTTCATTAAAACTTTAAAACCCACAAGGCTGTAAAAACTGGAGCCATGGTGTAATGGTATTTCATATTTCATTGTGATTTTCTTTTTTATATGCATGTGTTTTGAACGCTGACCCCATAAAACATAGACTATTGGTTAATTTTTTATCTTTCCGCCCAATTTTATTTGGCTTTTAAACCGTGGGCATAAAGGGCAGTGATCCAAGCTCACTCCATCTCTTTGTCACATCCATTTTCCTGGACAGGTGGTGAAACTGGACTTGTCTCACCTCAAGGACTCTAAGAAGCCCCAAAGTGTGTGCAAGTTTTAAGGATCTGCTGATATTCTTCTTCTGCAACAACAATGTCCACGCTGAAGCCAACCACCATGCTGCCAGCTATCTGTGACAATGCTGCCACAGCCTGCTCGGGCACAGACTGCCTTGTTCCTCCCAGTAACTTCAATGCCATCCTGGGAGTAGTGATGAGCACGGTGCTCACCATCATGCTCGCAATGGTCATGTTCGCCATGGGCTGCAGAGTGGAGGCTGCAAAGCTGTGGGGCCACATTAAGAAGCCATGGGGCATTATCATTGGCTTCCTCTGCCAGTTTGGCATTATGCCTTTCACAGCTTTTGCCTTGTCACTGGCTTTTGGGGTCCAGGCTGTGCAGGCAGTGGTCATCATCATCATGGGCTGCTGTCCAGGTGGCTCAAACTCCAACATCATCTGCTACTGGTTGGATGGAGACATGGACCTCAGGTGAGACTTTGGGCAGGTTCATTGCTATTTTTTCTTTTTCCCTTAATGTTAAAGAGCAGACTTCTCTGAGCCTTTTTCAGCTGGTGGTTTCTCCCTGTTAAAAAAGGAACCTTCTTTTTTCCCTACTATCACCAAGTGCTGCTCTTAGAGGACCACTATGTTTACTCTATGATAACTATTTGTTTCTCTTGTGTATGTAAACTAAATAGAATATTTTCATGTTTTTTGGATCCCAGAACACTCTTAAGCTATTTTAAGGAAGACTTTCTTGTTGTGTAGCTACCTGGCAGGAGAACACAATAGAATTAATGTATTACAAGTTTTTATTGGTCTAGAGTTTTATTTACATTTATTCAATGTTAATGCACTATTTAAATAAAACAAATTGTGTTAGTGTGTTTAAGCACAGCTAGGGACAAATGCAGGAAACTCATCTGTGTCCAAATCCTTCGCTCCTCAGTCTCAGTATGACAGCCTGCTCCTCTCTCCTGGCCTTGGGGATGATGCCTCTCTGTCTTTTAATCTACACCAGTGTATGGACATCCAGTGACACCATCAAGATCCCGTATGACAGTATCGGTAAGGAAAGCTTTCAAAGAACTGAAACACCTTAAATAATTTCAAACAAGTGCTCTCAATAATGTGTATTATCAGGATGTAACTGTGAATGCTGTTCCTGCCTCTAAGGTAACCTTTTTATAATCTACTTTTTTGCATCCTCAGGTATCACACTGGCAGCCCTAATCATCCCGATCGGTGTGGGAATGTACGTAAAGCACAGGTGGCCTGAGATGGCAAAAAAGATCCTGAAGGTAGGAATGCTCTACAGTTTATTGAATATAATTCTACAGGTTTAATGTTTTCACTTATAACATCTTGTGCCTGTGTGACATGTTTCTTTTTAGAAATAGCATGTCTACGAGAATATTATTGTGCAGCTCAGTTAAGACCGCTGATTTGTCTCTGTTGTCCAAACTACACCGCCGGATGGAAAGATGTTGAAGGAACAATAGTAAAAGAAATACCAGTTTCAGCTTTAATATCGGACATAAAATTGCAGAATAAAATACATATGGCAGATAAACCTATACTACAAATAATGATATCAGCTTGGAAAGAAGTAATAAAAATTGGTGGTTTGGAAAATGCCTCTAAGGTTTTAAGATGGTGTGCATATGATTCAGATTTTACTCCAAATCAATATGATAATAGATTCAAAAACTGGATTTCAAAAGGTATAACCAATTATTATTCATTTGTCCATAAGGGTGCATTTCAAAGCTTTGAATCTTTAAGGAGTAAACATGACTTGGGATCTGATGATTTTTTTAGATATCTACAGATCAGAAATTATTTTAATCAAAACTTAAAAGTGAACCTAAACGAATTACAATTTGTAGAAACATTCTTATTACTAACCAAATCTGAAGTGCAAAGTAAAATTATTTCTAAATTATATAACAGCATCCGGCGGTGTAAAAACGACAGCACTCTGTATATTAAAGCGAAGTGGGAAAAGGAGGATAATTTGACAATTACAGAGAAGTGTTGGGCTCACGCATGCAAGATACAGTGAGCTACCACTGGGTCTAATGTTTGGCGTGAATTTTGCTGGAAAAGCATTATGAGATTTTTCATTACCCCTGCTCAACAAAGATATCGAGGAATTGGTGATAAATGTTGGAGATGTGGGGGAGATGGAGCTAACCATTTCCACATCTTTTGGGACTGTAAAGATATTCGCCAGTATTGGTCTCTAATCCATGATCATTTACGTGTTTTTTCATTTGTTTTTCCTTCAACTTTTGAGACCATGTTTTTGTGCAATGCACCAGTGGATAAACTGAATTCCAACGACAGAAGACTCCTGTATATCCTTCTGGCCGCAAGTAAAAAGCCTCTTACGAGAAGATGGCTTAAGCCTGAACCACCAACGATAGAAGACTGGATACATTCTGTACAAGAGATCTATACGATGGAAAAGTGTCATTTTCTCTTAAACTTCAGAGGGATACCTTCTACGGAATATGGTCTAAATGGAACGACTATGTTAAGCATATGAGGTGTGATTTTGTGTATGATGTTACAACCCTGAGTTCTACGTAAACCTACCTGCCCTGCTGCCTCCTAACCCTAGGTTTTTTGTTTGTTTGTTTGTTTGTTTGTTTGTTGTTGTTTTGTTTTGTTTTTTGGGGGGGGTGTTTTTGTTTGTTTGTTTGTTTGTTTGTTGTTTTGTTTTGTTTTGTTTTTTTGGGGGGTGTTTTTGTTTGTTTGTTTGTTTTGTTTTTTCAGAAAAGAAGAAGAAAAAAAAAAGAAATAGCATTTCCATCATACATACTGGGGGGATGTGATATTTCCATTTTACAGTGCCGAACCAGTTAAATCACCTGGACTGGGTTTTAATGGAGTGTTTATGTTGTGCACAGGTTGGATCCATTGTTGGCTTGGTTCTCATTATTATTATAGCTGTGATTGGAGGAGTCCTCTACCAGTCGTCCTGGACCATTGCTCCCTCCCTGTGGATAATTGGCACCATCTACCCCTTTATTGGATTGAGCCTTGGGTTCTTCCTGGCTCGCTTTGTGGGTCAACCCTGGTACAGGTGAGGTGACAGCAAAATGTTTCTGACACAGCTACATTCAAGTTTGACTTATTGATGAGGTTCGTCATTGTTCCTTTATTTGTTCAGATGTCGAACCATTGCACTGGAGACAGGTATCCAGAATGCCCAGTTGTGCAGCACTATCGTCCAACTGTCCTTCACCCCAGAGGAGCTGGAAAAGATGTTTGCCTTCCCCCTCATCTACAGCATCTTCCAGCTCGTGTCAGCACTCATTTTTGTGGGAGGTAAGACCTTAAAACAAACAACACATACATTGGCCATTTTCTCCTGCATCGCTTGACTTTTTTTT